CCACAGCAGCCCAGCCTGCGGCCTCCCAGCAGAAGCTAGGGCAGCCTGGGCCCTGGTGTTCCCTCTAATTTTTGACAGGCCGTGTGCGCAAAAAATTTCTTCTGGGCAAATTGTTGTGCTTCTGTGCCAATTTTTGTGCGCGCGGTGTTTCGCCGTGTGTGCGGGGTTTAGGATCCGTGTGCGCGTGGACATGCCCACAGCTTAGAGGGAACAGTGGCCCTGGGTGCAGGTGACAGGCCGAGCTGGGGGCCCTGGCTGGAGCCCGCGGTTTGGAGGCTCCCGGGTCTGTGCTCCCTGCCTGATGCTAGGGAACGAAGCCTGGATCTTCCCTGAGAGGCTCCAGTCCAGCGGGGAGGGAGCTGAGAGCGAACACCGCCCTCCGCCCCCGAGATCAGTGTGTGGCCTGTGGCAGGGCAACAAACACCCCCCCGCGCAGGAGAGTGCAGGCCGACGCCATGGGGCCCTGCCCCCCATGCTGCTGGGAGTGGGACCGATGGAGCCCGCATTGCCACCGGCCTTGTGCGGGACAGAGACAGCGTCAGAGCAGGGATGGGACGGGGGCTACAGGCGGAGCTGTCCTTCCGGCTGGGACTCACTTGCTCGCCCACGGCAGTGGCCCATGGTGGTCGAGTTCCCTGGCCCAATTTGGTTCGTAGTGCTTGGCCCAGCACAGAGCAGCCAGGGCACTGAGTGCCAAGAGCCGGACAAGGCTCCCATCGCATGGCCATAGAGCACACCCCATAGTCTCCGTGCTCGGGCTGGTGCCGGGGCCCTGGGGGTGGGGGGCGAATCCTTGGGCTCCCACCAGACAGCAAATGGTGCCAATGGCCCCTGCAGGTGACCCAGTATGGAGGGGGCAGGGTGGGGTAGGCCTGCCCCAAACCCAAAGCAGAGAGAGTGAGGTGGGGTGGGGTGGGAAGGGGAGGGTACTGCTCCCATGCATCCTGAGGCAGGTTCTCTGCCATCCCAAGTGCCAGCCCTCACAGTGGCATCACTCCCCTCTCGGCCATTGGCTGGTGGCACGTGCCCGGGGCAGAGGTGCCTTATCTAATAAATTACCTAATAATCACCCAGATAAGGGGTGTTACTGGCATGAAGGGAGCAGTAAACATTAACCCGGCCAAGCCTGCTCGGAGCCAGGCCCAGCTGTGCCGGGGAGCAGGGAACAGCCCCCCCGGGGAGCAGTGTGGTGCTCCTCGCTGACCCTGTGCCAGCAGGACTTGCCGACAGCCCAGCTGGCCTGCCCCCTTCTGGGGCCGCCCGGTGTGGGAGCAGGTGAGCCTGGCCTGCAGGGCCATGGGGCTGGCCCCATGGCAGGCCTAGATTCCCAGACTCAGGGATTCCCAGGGAGTGGCGAAAACATAGGCTGCCCCCTCCCCTGCCCGGAGCCAGTTCCCTGCAGCGCGAGGGCGCTTGACTGTCCAACGTCAAGCACCCAGGGTCAGCCCCGCGCAGCCGGAGCCCAAACGAACCGCGGCCTTCGGGAGGCCACGCCAGCCTGCGCTCCCCCCTTCCCTACTGATTTCCAGGGGACTCAGGGGTCTGGCTGCTGCTGACAGCCCCCTCCCAACTGTGCCCCTCAGGCGCTATGGAGCCAGTGCTGTGGGACGGTAACGGGCTGCAGGAGGCTCGATCCTTCAGCACAGCTGTTTCCCAGTGGAGCTCCCCGCGGCTCCCTTAGGGAGACGCCGAGGGTCCTGTCGCAGATGCTGCTGAGCAGAGGGGCGATGTGCCGGTCTGGGTGCACCGGGCCATGCCTCGCACTCCCCAGGGCAGCCATTAACGGCAGTGCTGGCCCTTTGATCTGCTGGGACTTTGTGCCCAGTGTTTGCACACTGGCCTTCTGGGGCAGAAGCCTCCTGATCAATAAAGCCATAAACAGGCAGTTCAGAACAACAAACCCTGGCCCGGCTGGAAGGGCAGCAGGGAAAGCAGCTGCGGTAGCAGAACAGGCGAGGAGCCCGGGGCTGACTCGGCTCCCACCTGCACCGGCCGGAGCAGGGACAGGGAACCAGCGCTGGGAACACCCAGCCCCAACCAACCCCTCGGTGCCTCTGAAGTCAGAGCCAGCGTCTGGGGAGCGCTGGGGGAAAGCGCAGCACTTCTGAACAGACACTGCCCGTGCCCAGGGGTCTCCCCGCACGTAGGTAACCCACCTTCCAAGGGGCAGGGGCTGGGGCGCTGGGAGAATTCTTCCAGGCACCTATCACTGGGCTGCACGGGGGTCAGGTCGGGCTGGGTGCGTCTCTCAGGCATGTGGATTTTTCAAGCCCCAAAAGATGAAGCTGGACCCCAGCAAATTCCTGGTGTAGACCAGGCCTAAGAAACACGAGCCTGTGACAGTCTAAGAGCAGAAGAAACAGCACAAATTGTTACCATTACAGACCCTGCTGGGGAGGGGGTGTCCCATGAAAGGGGGCTCCGAGTTCCCGACTTTCCGAACAGGACACGCGCTGCTGGGGCTGAAGCTTGGGTGAGAACTCAGCGGACAACATGCGTTGCTTGGTGCTGAGCTCCGGGGATCAGCCCAACGCTGACACACAGTGGAGAGCATGGGAATTAGCCCTCCAAGAGCTCTGCCTGGCACCCCTGGGTGCAGCTTGCATGGCAGCAGGGCCTAGTTACAAGGAAGCACAAGCAGAGACAGGTTCCTGGGACACCGGCCCTGGACACCCCGCTGCTATGGGGCACTTGCAAGCTGCCACGCATTTCCACACGCAGCACCTAGCAGCGGGAGGGGCTGTGTCTGGGTGTCCGTCCCCTCCTTAACACACCCCTAATGGGAAGGAGGCAGCTGACTCTGGGGGAGCAAAGACACCGAGCCCTTTGGGGCATTTACTCTCCCCACACAGTCTCTGTGGGCCCTGGAGGAAGAGCCTGAGGCCCCCAGGTCTGGGGTCTGGCGCTGTGATCACAGCTCCTGGACCAGGAGCTGTGGGGCCTGCTGGGGAGAGACGTCACGGGGGTCATGCTGGGAGGGGACACTGACTGGGGCAGCTGATCAGGGGACAGGCCCAGCCTGCACTCGCTGTACCCATGCTCTCTCCAGCTGTCCTTACACGTGCAGAGCCAGCCCACGGGCTTCCCACCTGGCCCGTTGCAGTGCTCCGCCAGTGAGCTTGGGATCCTGCCGCCGCAGGGGAAGCTGGCTGGCTCGTGTGTTCCTTCACCCCTGCCCTGTTTGTGGCTCACTTGCCAGCAAGCGCTATCTGGAAAGTGGGATGAAGGAAGTTCCTCAGCCTTGGATCTCGAGCTCAAGGCCGAATGCAAAGTAGCGTCACAATTTCAAGGACGCAAACAAATCAAAGGTTTCTAGGACAACCCGCGTGGCGATTACTCACCTGTCACGAAAGCCACTGCCCCTTCCCGCACCAGAGCCGGGTGAGGCCACAGCCGAGCCTATGGGACTTACAGCCAGTTCTCCAGTAAGGCTTGACCCTGCCCCATGGCATCCGGGGCAGCTGGGCCTGAAGGCACTGGGGAGCCGGCAGCGAAAGTGACAGGGGGTGATGCTGGGGAAGTGGAAAGTGACCCACCAACAGGTGAAGGGGGATGCGGGAGTAACCTGAAGGACTGAACCCCAGGGGTTACGGCAGTGCTGGGTTCCAGGGCCGAAGCCAGCAGGCAGGGATGCTGTTTGCACACGTCTCTGGCTCAGCCCCTTGGCAGAGAGGCCGGGGTTGAATGGCAGGCAAGGAATCCAACCTGCCTCCTCGCTGCCTGGGAGCGAGCCCGTCCAGGTCGTGCTGAGGCCGCGTACGTGGGGCAACGCAGGCTGCCAGCGGTGCTGGGAGAAGGGGGTGACCCCCAACCACCACTGACCGCACAGATCCATGGGCCTGGCTCCTCGGAGTGCGAGAACCACTCTGCCACTGGCCCCCCTCTCACTGCTCTCCCTGCTGGCAAGGCCTGCCCCGTGCTGCTGGGCATAGTCACTGCCAGCTGCAGGGCTGGCGTGGTCCCAGCAGCGGGTGCAGAGCGAAGTTCTCCACAGTCAGCGAGGGGTTAACGGCTCGGAGCCGTTGGTTAGTTCGGGAACCTGGGCGTTACTCGCGGCAGAACAATGCTGCCAATGTGCAGCGGTTTCATCATCAGCAAACACGACTTCGAGAGCTGACACCTGCTGAGGAACCGCAGGAATTGCGCCAGAGGCCGAGGCAGCGGGCCGCTGGGTGGCTGGGGGAGGCGGCCCAGAACGAAGCCCAGGAAAGGGGGGTTAAACTGGGGCTGGAATTCCACCACTGAGTGGCATCTCTGCCAGCTCCCCATGGGTCCTCCAGCTCAAGATCGGGGGGCAAGGGCAGGTGGCAGCCAGTTCAGGAGGGGACGAGGCACCAGCTCCAGAGTTTGTGCCTCTGGCCAGAATGAAGCAACCCCAGAGCAAAGGAGCCATCTGCATTAGCACTTTCAGCCCCCTGGCCCCTCACCGGCTGGGATCAGGGTTGGGGCATGCTGGTAGAGGGCCAGGGCTAGCGGGGATCCCCGGAAGTGCTCTTATAGATGCAGCCGGGGGCTCAGGGATCAGAAGTGGGGTAGGGGAGCCACCACCTCGTAAAGGGCTGGGCCAAGCCTGCTCCTGCTCAGCAGAATGGATGGGTCAGGGCCTGGTCCCAGCCTGGAGCATTCACTCCCAGGGCCACCTGGATGGGAAGGGACTACTCCCCCTGGCCTGTGAGGAGCGAGTCCAGCTCCCAGCGGGCTGCTGTCCACATCAAAAGAAACAAGGAGCCCTGATCAGTGCTCCCCAGAACAGCCACGGGCTGCATGGGCCCCAGGGACGGTCACCCCAAGAAGGGGGCCCTGCCAGAGCAAGGCTGGATGGGCGGGTGGGCAGAGCAGCGCTGCGGGCAGAGCAGCTATCTGCCCCAGGCGCTCTGTGCAGCCAGGGTTTTGCTCTGTTTGGCAGGGACAGAACCGGAAGGGACCCGGGTCGCTAGAGGACACAGGAGTGCACCAAGGCCTGCCCTTTTCGCTGAGAAGTTTATTTGATTCCGTTATCACAACAGTGTCTTCTTATAAATATACAAAACCAGGACCCTGCCATAGCACTAACCCCAATAAGTTAGCAATAAATAAGAGGGGTGTATAAATAAATCCCTACTAAAGTGCACATTTTGCTCAGACTCTTAGGTGGCATGAGCCCCCAGGGAGCAGCCCTGCTGAAACCTGCCTCAGGGGTTTATCCTTCTACGGGAGGAAGGACCCACCTCCCCAGGCAATAAGTGGGAGGGGGCTAAGTGACCATGGTGTAGCTGGAACAGGACCCTGCCCAGACTGGTGGGCCCTGCCCTCGGTGACTGTGCTGCACCCGACAAGGCTGCAGGGACTCTGGCCACACTAGTGTTCCCTGAGCCACATCCAGCCGGTTCCAAGCGGAGCAGGATGCAGGGGAGAGGAGAAGAGAACAGGCCTGTTTTCTGGTAACTGAACTAGACACTGGAAGGGCGTGGGTCAATGCAGTGGGCCTTGACTGCCGGGGTATGACTGTAAACACGCCCATGCCATTGCACCCAGGGGAAGTTTGCATCAGACGGGAGGTCTTTAAGAGCCACTGACTGTGTTTGCCTCTCTCAGCTCTGCCATGGGACTAGCTGGGCCAGCAGCGTCTGGCAAGGGGGCTCATCTCGGCGGCTGGATGGCTCAGGGTCGCTTCCTCTCCCAGCGGCTCCGGGGGATGCGTGTGCCCTCAGGCACAGTGGCACGCGGTGACGATCATGTCCTCGAAGAGCGTGGAGACGAGTCTCCCGTCGCTGTCATAGTGCATGAGCACCATGGGGTCGTAGCCAGCGGGTACGCAGCAGGGGGCAGGCGTCTCTTTGGACAGAGTGTGCATTCGGGCTTTGATCTGGGTGTGCATGCTGGCTGGCTTGTAGTTGTGAGGGCAAGACCCTTCACAGAACTTCATGTAGTAGCTGTTCGGGGCGATCACCCAGTTGGACCAGCCGATGTCTTGGAAAGACACTTTGAGGGACTTGAGGCAACATTTCCCATCGCTCTTTCTGCATTCCTCCTCTAGCGCCCTGGCTTTCCTCGGCCTGGGGCCCAAGTGCCCCTGGGTTTCCACCTCTAGGTTCAGCGTCTCAGCCCCATGGCTGGTTCGCTTGGTGGCCAGAAAGGCAGAAATATCTGCGGCGAATACCAGCTGCAGATGGAGCCTTTGCTCCGTGCTCACTGCCCAGTGCCGGACAGCAGCCCCCAGGTCGAGGCTCAGGGTCTTGGAATCGAGGGTATAGGAATGCAGGAGCTTGGGATGCCCGTTGCGCTGCCCATGCTCCGGCAGCTGGTAGATCTCTACTCGAGATGGCCAGGAGACATTGAGTCTAGAGACATCCTGAGTGCTGAGAGTTTGCTCGAAGAGTCTCAGTTCAGCTCTCATCACGCTGAGCTCCTGGTGGAAGGCCTTGGTCCGGGACAGCACGAGATTGTAACAGGAGCTGCCAGCAGAGGCTTCCGTCCGGCGCTCCACTGCAGAGAGAGGAGGCAGCGAAGGGTTAATAGGGACTGCTTTTCCACACCGCCACTTTCTGGTCCTGCTACAAACTGCCCACCCCGGCACAAGCCAGCATCTCAGATCCCCCCCGGCATCCGAGGCTGCACGTGCAATGTGACACACGTGTTATCCTCGTGTGCTGCACATGTACACGTGCACGTACCAGCCATTCCGTGGCAGTGCAATGTTCAGAGTGAGGATTGCCCACCTCCGCTCCAGGGGCCCGACTGCCATGTGCTCGCTGTACCACTGTGTGGAAACCCTTCTAAGCCACCCGGCCTGGGGCTCTCCACGCACGCAGTTTGGCAGGTGTCCAGCACCAGGATATTAATAGCTGGGTCCTCACAGCACTCCCGGGTGATCCCCATTTCATAGCTGGGGAAACTGAGGCAGAAAGTCAGGGACTTGCCCCAGGGCACAGAGGCAGGCTGTGGCGGGCAGGGCTGGGTCTCCTGAATGCCAGCCCAGTGCTTTAGCCCAGTGTTACCCCAAGCCCCAGGTAAAAGTTAGGGCCTCACCCTCCATGGAGCAAACATGGGTAGAAATTCCCCCCCCCCCAAAATAAACCCCAAAACATTCATGCTAAGTAAGGAACCGGCAGCAGCCTTCCCCCAGCACTGGCTGTGCCCTAGTGTCATAACGCTGCGTCCACCCCTTGGCCCATTAACTCGCCTGTGTCCCAAACGCTGCGGCGCTCTCAACACGCAGCCAGTTCAGCTGGGCCAGGCAGGACCCGTTTGACCCTGCCCCCCACTCAGCGTCAGCCGAACAGAACCGCAACGTTGATGATTAAAGGCCAAAACACACGTCCAGAAGCAGCGACACCAAACTGCGTGCGGCTGCTCCTGGCCGAACACGCCCAGCTCCCCTGGCTCTGCTCTGCGCGAGCCAGGGTAACAGCTGGACCACCACTCGGGGGACCCACTTTAACCCTTGCTGTGGGTTGTCAGTCTTGCCAGGCCAGTGGGCTCTGCACCCTAGAGATGGGGCAGCGCAGGGCGACGCTTGTGTGTGCCAGAGAGCTCAACACGAGGCCTGGGCACCACTTGGAGGGGGTGGGGGAGGGTTTGCCGGTTGGCTGCATGGGGAGGAGTCTTCAAGTGACATCCTTGGCCTGGTGCATGGGAGTCAGAGGCACTCATCACCTCTGGGATCAGGCCACGGGGACCAGAGCCAGTTTGCAACACCTCTGGGGCAGACCCGGAAACACACACCAGGAGCCCTGACCCTGCCCTGTGCAGTAACTGTGGGACCATCCCACGCAGTGCATGGGAATGGGCCTTTCAGCCCCTCACTCTTGGGGTGCTTCTAATCCTGTCCCACACACCGGCATGTAGACGGGGGAGCACACGACCTGACCCAGCCATCAGAGAGGTTTGCAAACTCTGGTCCCTTCCCTTTCCCCTGCCCTACCTCATGTTTCCTGGCCTGGGAGCATCGCCAGCCTTGGCCATACAAAACCCAGGAGTCAGGCCCCAAATCAGGGATTAATAATGGCTGCTGGAGGCTTTTCATTGTCCTTTATGCTTCAGGCCCCTGGGCTGCTCTCTGGTTCCAGCCCCCCTCCATCAGCGCAGTCAGCCACGCTGGCGTCCCAGGCCCATTGGACCACCAGAAACCAGCTCCCTTTTCATGGATACACGAAAGCTGAGATTTTCACAAAGCCATATGCCTCCAGGAGCCGGACTGTAAATAAACCAAGTATCACAAAAGCGTAGCCAGGGGCAGAAGTGGAACCAGAAACAGTCTAGAAAGTGCCCCATCTTGGCATCTTTCTGTTCCCCAGGGCAGTGGGAAGGGCCCAGAGGCAAGGCAGAGTCCAGGGCAGGAGACTTACTGTTGCTCGGCCAGAGGTCCTGACAATGTTCGGGGAACCAGCTGAACCTGCAGATGCTTTTGGGACCCAAATCTCCAGCTTCAGCCCTCACTAATGGGCTTCCAGAGAGCCAGGCCCAAGCCGCTTCTGGCTAGTTTGAATCAGCAAAGCAAGCGGCTGCAAAGCCCTGGTGCCAGAGGTGCCGGCCGGACCCCGCTCTGCAGGAGCCGGCTGGTGTCAGCATGGAGCAGGCGGAGCTGAAGGAAGAGCCAATTCTGAAAAGGCTTCACAGCAGCTGCTCCCATGTGAATCTGCCCCAGCCCTTCTACCGCGGCTCAGCCCTGGGAGCACTTTGCTAAGGAAAACGGGCAGAGGACAGAGACCCCCTCCACAGCAAGGAGGTCAGGCTAAGGGAAGGGGACGTACTCTGGCAGCTGGGTTCCAGGGCTGCCTGACCACCTGGAGCCCTGCGAGGAAGAGGGACCCCACGACTCCTGTGTGCTCCCTCAAGACACCTGGAAAAACAAGGATTGGGCAGAGTCCCATTTGTTCCTTTCTGAAGGTCAGCACAGGCCAAGGGCCCCTGGCTTACAGTCCCTACACCCATCGCGCTCCCGGCCGCTACTGCCCATGCAGGAGCAAAGCACTCCCACCGGGGAAGGTGCTCACCAGCCTTCTCCATGGGCAGAGCCCCCGGCCGCCGCACAAGGGGAGACAATCCCTGCCCCACGGAGAGCAACCTGACCAAGCCCAGAGGGACCTCCGGAGGAAAACGCTCCCACGATTGCACAGGTCAGTAACAAGCACAAATCGATGGCTCCACATTCCCACAATGTCTTTCTTAAGCTAATAAATAACATAGCCGGCACGGCCCCCGCCTGCCCACCCAAGCCGCACGAGTTGGCCAGTTGCTGTGGCTGAAGTGTGCCCGGTGCAGCACACACGGCTTCCATCTCCCACGTGCGGGTCCACCAGCATGGAGACGCGCTCGGACACGGCGAGTCAGCGTCAGGTCGTCTAAGGGACCCGGCTGAGCAAGGGGGTCTCAACCCCCCTTGGCTCTGCACGGGGCCAGTCCAACACCAAGCACCCAGCACAGTGGCCACTGCCCAGCTCTGCTAGACCCCAGACTGGACTCCCGGGAACGACGCAGCCCTCTCCCCAGACTGGACTCCCGGGGCACAACAGACAGGTTCCTCTGCACGCCCAGGGCCGGGGCAGCATTTTCAAGAGCACCTCCGGAGTGGAGTCAAGGGAACTTGGGCTTCTAGGTCAGGGCAGCACCTTCGAAAGTTTCTCCGCAGCTGCTCGGAGAGAAACCGAAGGCACAGCCCAGGCGCCCATGGACACGCTCGACTCTCAGAGAGCCAGAGGTTAGCAGGGGCTGCCAGGGTCAGCCAGGCCAAGCCCCTGCCAAGATGCAGGAGTTGTTGGGTCGCACCCCTCCAGCCTCCGTTGGAAACCTCCAGCGCGGGAGCTTCTCTGACCTCCCCAGGCTCTGCGCCATTGACCCAGGGCTCAGACAGCCAGGGCGTTTTCCCGCTCGGTTGGTTTTACTTACGCTTTGGAGTCAGGAGGTGAAGCGTCCTGGGTGGGGCTGCCGCCCAACTTTCTTCCCTGCTCCGGTTCCCCCACAGCTGGGTGAGTTTCTCCCTGTAGAGCTGACGCGCTCTCCTCACCCCGTCCTGGTCCAGCCTCTGCCGGAGCACGGGGGGCTCCTGCAGCCCCAGCCGATCCAGGATGCCCCTTTGGATTGTTTCGAGCTGAAGCCTGTTCTCAGCCCATCCGTGAGGCCGCGGTTCCACGCTGGAGAGCAGCAGCAGCAGCAGGCAGGTGGCGGCGTACCTGAAGTCCTGCCCTGAGCTCTGCATTGTGCAATAGGACAGGCAGTGGAAGCAGCACCGAGGTTGTGCAATCTCGGTCTATATTTATAGCACACTCTGGACATGCAGCTTTCATCAGCCTCTGTGAGAGAAATGAATGAAATGGACCAGACCTGGCTTTATACTGAGCTGAATCTTGCCCGCCCTCCCCATCCCTCCACCCCCCCCCCACTCACTCGCCGCCTTACGTCACTGTGTGAAGCAGTAAACACACATGCAGCAGGAATCTCTCCTGTCCCCCGGCCTGGGGAAGAGCAGCCCTCCCATCCCAGGGCCCTCGGCTGAAATTTTATGGGAGAGCTTGGACAGCGCGGAGGCCTGGGGATTTGTGATGTGTTTTGCAGCTATGGAGACGGCAACGATGACTAAGAACCAAGAGATGCTTCTCCATGGCCGGCTCTTCGAACTAAACATTTGCCCTCCATGTCCCCTTCTCTCAGTTGACCTTGGTGTGCTAGCAATGGGCTTGGGGGTCCATCCAGTGCAGAGAGGTGGGGGAGGCGGGGGAAGTGGTATGCAGCCCGGCAGAGCAGTTTGGAGAAAATAACCCACCCCAAGCCTGCCTGGAAGTCTCAGCAAGGCCAGCACCTTCCCGCCTTCCTGTTAACACTGCTGCCAATTTGTGCATTTCTGACCCTAGTGCCATGTAAGCGCAGTGCTGCCTCGAAGGCTGGAAGCAGGTGTGACAGATCTGGCAATTTCCTGCAATGGCCTCGGGAGACCCTGACTGAAGTTTCTTTGTTCCCTTGAAGTCCATTGTACAAGATGCAGTGGGTGTGTCTTCCTGTGGATTGGGCCTGTGGGTAACTCCTCTAGGGACGACCAGACCACGGTGGGGGCGGGGGCAGCGAGCTCCACTGCCATTGTGCCAGGGAAGAAGGGAGGTTTGAGGCGGTAACTGCTAAGTGGATTTCCTAAGAAATACCCCAGCAGAGGTTACTGCAAATTCCCCACTTCCCGCTGTGTAAAAGCCAGGCTTTCGAAACATCACCCTGAGGAGTGTGATTGGCTGCTGATTACCTGTTCCCAGAGCCTGGAGATCAAAGGCCCCGTCTCTGTAAACAGCAGCTGATCTGCCCAGCCCAGGGTCCGGTGCTAAGCAGAGAGCTGTGACCTCGGGCTACAGGAACTCCCTGTGGTGGGTTTAAGAACTGACGCCTGCCAGGGTGCGAGGCTGGCACTGGGAAGCCTTTCAGCGGGTCTGCCCTTGTGTTGGCTCCCGGTGGTTCTCTCTGTAATGCTTTCTGCAGCTCAGAGCCATGGTGCCGTGCGACTGGAGTGCGAGGCTGGTCGGCACCCACAGAGAGGAGGCAAAGCACAGCCTGGCTGGCTTGCACGATCACAGCGTAACCAGAGGGCTGGGCAGCCCGAGCACCCTCACGCAGGAGGGAGAGAGACTTGGGGCTCTGCCTGAGAGAGGAGCCGGGAGGGAGAATACAGGTGCAGGTCCCTGACATTGGGATAGCAAGACACAGACCCACACCCAACGCTCGGTGCCCAAACTGCACTGCTTTAAAAGCTCCCGGGTGCAAGGGCAGGGGGCTTAGTGTGCTCTGGAAATCAGATCCCCCTCTCAGGCTGGCCTGTCGGAAATGGAGGTGCCCAACGTCACCAGTCGCTCTTGAAAATCTTGGCCGATGAATTCCTGGTTCCACTGTGACCCAGACCCGCCCCAGGACAGCTGTGCCTGCCACGCTCCGAGCCTGGCCTAGAGCCAGTCGTTTGGCTGAACTTGGGGCAGACTCCGTCCTTGGGCACGTGGCTACCACCCCCTGGGAGCGAGTGCCAGGGCAGAAGCTGCTTCTTCGAAGTATGCTTCCCCTCCTCTGCGAGCGCCGGCCTCCCTTTCCAGCTGCTCACGCCTGGGCCTGCACTCAGCTGGCAAAGATGCAAGAGGCCTCCTATTAAATACTTGAATTTGGGGCCATTTCCTAAAGCGACCTGCAGCCCCTGGTGGGCACCACCCGAGAAGCGAAGCCGGCCTGTGGGCAGCGTGGGAGTCTGTGCCGGGGCGGAGCAGGGCTGCACTTGAACCGGAAGAAAGAAGAATGGTCCTGATGGGTCTGTGAGCTGCTCTCCCTCTCCCCAGGGTGTGTGCGCCCCATAGGCACCAGCCATTGCACCCGGCCGGGACAGGACCAAGGGCCAGAACTCCGGCTTCAGCCTCCTCGGACCGGTACAGGGTGCAGGGGAAGGGCGCCCTCTAGTGCCCACAAAGGACACTTCTAGCTTCCACGGGGAGGGCTCCAGCATTGCAGGAACTGAAGCTAAATGCAGGTGGGTGACCAGGCACCTGCCCGGGGATGACGGGCAATGACACCACTCCCTTGGCTCCAGCTGCCTAAACAAAGGGAGCTCGTCTGCAGCCCAGGAGAGCTGGTGCCTAGCCAGAGTCTTGCTCTAGTACCTAGTTTCACAGCTGGGCTGGCCAAGGCAGAAAGAGGTGAAGTGGCTCCCCCCCCACCCCAAAGTGTGCACTACGCAAGGTGCTCTTCAGAGGAGGGAACCGCAAACAGTGCACGGGGGGCAGCCTCCCCCCGGCCACGATCTTCCCCCAAGGCCCATTTCAGCTGGAGGGAGGCACAGACGGGGGGTCAGGGGGGTTGTCACAGAGTGTTGGGGAGTCCGTGGCCTGCACCCCTCTTCCTGGGATTCACTGTGACTCTCAGCCAGCCAGTAAAACAGAAGATTTATTGGACAACAGGAACACAGTCCAAAACAGAGCTTGTGAGTAAAACTGAGGGGTCCTGGTTAAGTCCTTCGGGGGGGTGGGAGGGCAGGGAGCTTAGACCCCAGCCCTGGGGTTCTCTGCATTCCACCACCCAGCACCAAACTGAAACCAAAACTCCCCCAGCAGGTTCTCTCCTGCAGCCTTTGTCCAGTTTTCCGGGCAGAGGTGTTACCTCCCCTCCCCCTCCCAGCTTAGGTGACAGGCTCTCAGGTCTCCCATCCCCAGTGAAACTCACCTGCCACATCCCCAGGTCAACACTCCCCCGTCCCTGCTGCGTCACATCCCCCCTTCGAGACTGAACTGAGCGGGGTCACTCTGACCAGTGACTTGGGGAAGTTCAGGGCCCCCCTCTCCGGGACAGCGCATCCGCTATCAGGTTGGCACTTCCCTTCATGTGGACCATGTCCATGCCATAATCCTGCAGGAGCAGGCTCCATCTCAGGAGTTCGGCATTGGCTCCTTTCATCTGATGCAGCCAGGTCAGAGGAGAGTGGTCGGTGTACACGGTGAAGTGTCGCCCGAAGAGATAGGGCTCTAGTTTCTTGAGGGCCCACACCATGGCCAGGCACTCCTTCTCGATGGCCACGTAGTGTTGCTCCCAGGGGAGCAACTTCTTGCTCAGGTACACGATGGGGTGTCTCTCCCCCTTTTCATCCTCCTGCATTAACACCTCCCCCAGCCCCGTGTCTGAAGCGTCAGTGAACACCACAAAGGGCTTGTCAAAGTCTGGGTTTGCCAGAACTGGGCCACTGACCAGAGCCTCCTTCAGCGCCCGGAAAGCCTCCTGGCACTGCTTGGTCCAGACCACCTTGTCTGGCTTCCCCTTCTTGCATAGCTCAGTGATGGGGGCAGCTATGGCACTAAAGCGGGGCACAAACCTTCGATAGTATCCTGCCAACCCAATAAAGGCTTGGACCTGCTTTTTGGTGTGGGGAGCGGGCCAGTCTCTGATCACCTCCACCTTGGCTGGTTCCGGCTTTAGGCAGCCGCTTCCCACCCGATGGCCCAGATAAGATACTTCAGCCATCCCCACCTTGCACTTCTCCGCTTTTACAGTCAGCCCAGCCCCCTGGAGTCGGTCCAGCACTTGTCTAACCTGGGACACATGGTCCTCCCAGGTCTGGCTAAAGACACAGATGTCATCAATATATGCCACGGCAAAACTCTCCCTCCCCCTCAGTAGCTGGTCCACCAGGCGCTGGAAGGTGGCCGGTGCTCCCTTGAGGCCGAAAGGCAGGGTCAGGAACTCAGAGCCCCAGAGGGGTGATAAAGGCCCATTTCAGCCGGGCATCTGCATCCAGCGGCACTTACCACCATGGACCTTACAAAGGGCTACTGGCAAGGTATCGAGCTCCTCCCAATTTGTCTAGGAGCTCATCAGGCCTAGGCATGGGGTAGGCATCAGATACAGTGATGGCACTGAGTTTCCGATAGTCCACCCAGAACCGGATCGACCCGTCCTTTTTGGGGACCAGCACCACCGGCGAGGCCCAAGGGCTGGCAGATGACTGGATCACCCCCAAAGCCAGCATGACCCAGACCTCTCTCTTTCCAGGTCCTGAGCAGTTTTCCCTGTGACTCGGAAGGGGGAGCATCTTATCGGCGGGTGCGACCCGGTCTGCACCCAGTGGACAGTCAGATTAGTGCGTCCAGGCTGGTGGGAAAACAGTTGTCGGTACGGATGCAGCACCCCTCTGATCTCAGCTTGCTGGGCAGGGGTTAGCTGATCCGAGAGGGGAATTGTTTCCAGGGGGGAACCAGCTCTGGTCCCAGGGAATAGATCTACTAAAGGGTCATCTCCCTGCTCCTCCCACTGTCCACACACGGCTAACACCACATTCCCCCTAGCATAATATGGCTTCATCATATTCACATGGTACACCCGGCGGTGGTGCGCCCGGTTCGACAGCTCCACCACATAGTTTACCTCATTGAGCTGCTTGACAACCTTGAAAGGGCCCTCCCAGGCGGCCTGTAGTTTGTTCTCTCTCATGGGGATGAGAACCATCACCGGATCCCCGGTGGCGTAGGCACGGGCTCGCGCCGTGCGGTCATACCAGACCTTCTGCTTCTTCTGGGCTCTGGCCAGATTCTCCCTGGCCAGGCCCATGAGTTCAGCCAGTCTCTCTCGGGAAGATCAGGACATACTCCACCACTGACTCTCCATGGGGAGCGGCCTTCCCCTCCCACTCCTCTCTCATCAGGTCCAGGGGGCCCCTCACCCTCCTTCCATATAACAGTTCGAAAGGCGAAAATCCGGTAAACTCCTGGGGTACCTCCCTGTACGCGAACAACAGGTGAGGTAAGTACTTGTCCCAATCCTGCGGGTGCTGGT